TGAAAAGGAACTTCACAGCAATAAATCACTAGCTGTAATACTTGAAATAGATTCTTGCAACAATAAAGATAATAACACTTTTTTATAAGAAATGCTCTCTTATATTAATCCGAAGAATAATGATGAAACACCCTGAATAAAGAAGCTATCTGAACAAATCTAGAAAACAGATTCAGTCGCAATTTTATAGAAAATGATAATATTTTAGAACCAACATCTGAAACCTGGCATGACTATGTAGTTAGAATTAAAAATATTTTTAAAATTTAGCTTGGACTTGCCAGAGGTATAGAGGTTGGCCTGCCCATAAGATAGGAAGTCAAAAACATATAACCAAGAACTATAGTTTTCACACTTCCAAATTTTAAGTATAATTGCAAAAGTAAACATCTGTGAACAAGTTTAAAGACGTTGAATTTTTAATCAATAAAGATTATGTGAAAAAAACACTAAAATATTGTAAAAATTTTTTGGGAAAAGTCAAAAATCATCGTATAGAGATTATTATGCACTAATCCATGATAACATTTTTGTTAAAAGTATGCGCAAATAAAACTAACGTAATCGTATAAATAAAAAGAAATTCTATAAATTTTACTGAAATAACTAAAATAAGCAACTTCCCTCATTAATTCAAAAACTATAACTTTTCGTTTTTTTAAATAAAAAAGTTTTAACAGATATTTTCAATATTTTAGAAAATGAACTTATTTTTAAGGTTTTTAATTGTTTTTTTTAGTTTTTTTCTTCATATTTAAACTTGGTAATTGCATAATAAAAATTCCTTAACAGTGAAAATACTAATAAAAACATAAAATCACATAATGATTTGCATAAATAATAAATAAACTTTACTTCAAAACTGTAAAGAAACGCTGGAAACTTCCAGAATACCATATTGTTGTATTATCAGGAACCGTTATAAAACTTCATACATTTAAAAGTATAGTCGCAAAAAATTTACTAGATAAATTTACATAAAGTTGTTTTATAACAATGTTATTAAAATGTGAGATAACAAGTATAAAATTATATATCTATCGTGTTTTTTGAAATATTTACACATTTATCAAAATATGTTTATTATTATTAAAAAATAAGAAAGTATATAAAAAACTGGCCGTTAAAAAGTTTAAAAGTAAAATTAGTAACTATATTTTTATACATTAAACTAATCTTTTTAATAACTTTTAAAATCGATTTAACCCATCAAACACAGACTAGTTTAGAATTGCTCAATATTTAGCCAAAATCGGTCAATAAATTGACAAAACTTTAGCGACCAATTATTGACTAATAATGGACGCTTAATTTTTGATCGGCACATCAAACTTTTTGGCATATACGTTTAATAAACGTCGATCAAGCGTGTATAATATCGACTTACATTAGTCATTATCTAAACGTTGGATCGACGTTCAATAAACCTATATCCGTCAGGGTTAAAATCAGTCAGGTAAAATGACTAATTCATCAGGTAAAATGACTATATTATACCACGGCTTTTAAGTTTTTTGACTTTTTTTTTATTGAGTTTCACTCAATTTAAATTAAACGGAACACAAATATTTCATTAAACGGAATAAAATTATATATTGCTAAAATAATAATTTTTTTACAATATATATTTTAAAAATAATAATATTTTTACAATATATAATTCTATTTTGTTAAAAGTAAATATTTATTTGACATTTCAAAGTTGATCGACCTTTTATAAATTTTTTATTTGAAAATGAAATGTTTTAATTTTTAAGCTTATAATAGACTAAAAAGAAATTGAAACAGACACAAACTAACGTCGCTCTGACGTCAAACGTAAACAATCGAATTGGCAGTTCTATTGAATGAGGTGCAATGCGCAGAATAAGATGGAACTAGTAATAGTTAAGGAAGTGATAAAAGATATTTTTGAACACATGCCAAAAATAGAATATATTTTTTACATCAATGAGCAAATATAAAAAAATATTTACTTATTAAAATCATCGTTTAGGTAATTTTGTATAACTATTGACTTGCAATTAGCTTTTGCGCAGTTAAGTTATGCAAGAAGTGTAAGGTTAAATGTACAAGGGATAGTAAGATTATATTAGGTGAATAAATGGTTATTAAAGAATAGGGATATATTTTTTAATAATGTTTAATCTTTGCCATGCTTATTTTTATATAAACATACAAGACGCTCGATGTGACTATAAGTTATAGACTATATATTTTGAAATTAATAATATAATTATATATATATACATATATATATATGATTTTGAAATTAATAATCTGAGTTCAGTTACTAGTAGCTCCAAGGGTAAAGGTGATGTAGAATTAGATCATAGCAATAAAGAAATTTTTAGAAACGATTTGGCTGATTTGGCTGTAATAAGTAAAATGATGCATATTCAAGTAAATGGAGTGCTTAGTGTCTTGCGGAAGCATGGTTTAGATGTTTTACAGGACGGTCGGACTCTTGTAAACATCACAAGATCAATAGTTACATACAAATGTGTCGGTGACTATTTGTATTTTGGGTTTCGAAAAATCATTACACAATTTTTAGAAATAGATGATAGTAACGAAATTCTGAACTTGACACTAAATGTGGATAGCATACCTTTCTACAAATCATCTACCTTGCAGTTTAGGCCAATATTGTGTTTAATAAATAATTCTACTCCTATGATTGACGCTCTTTTTAGTGGAAATTCAAAACCAAACTCTGTAGATGATTTTTAGCAAGCTTTTGTTTATGAGGTTAAGCAACTTCAAAAGTATAGATTTAGTTATAATAAAATAACTTTTACCTTGTTATTGCAGTCATGTGTGTGTTATGCACCTGCTAGGTCTTTTTTAAAAAACATTATAGGTCATAACAGTTTGCATGAGTGTGAACGATGTTGTGCAGTTGGATTGTTAGTTAATCATCCTACAATACTTATTAACCCAGGTTGTTTTAATGCAGAATGACGCACTGAAGAAAAATTTCTTAACATGGCATATATTAATAGTCACCAACATGGTCCAACGCCATAATAACATATAACTGTTTAAGAATTTTTTCTTGGAACTACATTAAGTTTGTTTGGGTGTGGCTAGACATATTCAATTTTTGAAAAAAGAAGATAGAGTAGTAAGATTATGTCCCCTTCAAGTTTTAAACAAATCTGAAAACCTACTTGAATTAGGAAAATACATCCCTAGTGAGTTTGAAAGGTGCCCGCGAGGAGTGATTAAATTGGATAGGTGGAAAGCTACAGAGTTCCGCCAATTCTTGTTATATACAGGTCAAGTTACGTTAAAGAGCATGTTAAAACCAGATTTGTACAAAAATTATTTAACATTGTTTGTTGCTGTTATTATTTTGATTTAACGCACAAAAACTATTAGAACATTATGTCCGACACTTTCAAAAGTTGCATGGAGGTGTTTTTGTTGTGTATAATGTTTATCATTTACTCTGCCTAGTAGATGACAAACGTTTTTTTAACTTATCGCTCAATGAAACTAATGCTTTTTCGTTTGAAAATTTTCTCCAAATACTAAACAAGTATGTTGAAACGCCAAAAAAAACCATTGGTCAAAGTTTCTAAGAGGATTAAGGAGTCTGAAAAAATTGAACGTATTCGAAAAGGTAATATTAAGTTAAAACTAAAGAATGAAAGCTTTCAACACTTCCTAGAGACTCAGTTGTGTTGATTAAAAATAACTTTTATGCTCAAACTATAGAAGTTAAAACAAATGGGTACTTTTGCCGCCATTTTGACTGTTCCTATCTACAACCTTAATCCAACTGATTCAAATCTGAATTAGTTAAAAAAAAATTTTGTTTAGGTTAGGTATTTCAACAAGAAAAAAAAGTTGACTTTTTTAATAGCTTTTATTTAAAATACAAACTATAATTGTTTAAGTAAACGGTATAGCCATATAATATATATATATATATATATATATATATATATATATATATATATATATATATATATATATATATATATATATATATTTATATATAAACATATATATATATATAGTCTTGCATGGTAGTCACTAGATTTTTCCCATAAACTATCGTTTTAAAGAGCGTGTTATTAAGCCTGACACAAAAATGTTATAGAACTTCAAAAAAAAAATTTTTATTTTAAATGATAGACTGCCTGCCAAATCCAAACCCTCAGTCGAAGTAGCAGCACTGCCTTGCAAGTCAGGCTATTTGTCAGTTGATGTAGCAGCACTCCATTTCGAGTCAGGCTATTTGTCAGTCGATGTAGCAGCACTCTGTTGCGAATCAGGCTATAAGATAGTCGATGTAGCAACACTGCCCTGTAGCAGCTGGCTATAAGATAGTTGACGTAGCAATACTTACGCATGTTTAAAAATGTTCTTTAATAAAACAAAAACAAAAACACCACTAATTAAAAAAATACTTTCTAGTCATTATTATTGCCGTTTTTTTAAAAAACAATAAAATTTAATGTACTTCCGCCATAATTTAATTGCATTGACATTTCGACGACAATAAAATGCAGCTCAAGAGACCATAAAAGTTTTTACCATATAAGTCTCGTTCGATTACACTATAAAGATATACATTTACATATACATATATATATATATATATATATATATATATATATATATATATATATATATATATACATATATATATATATATATATATATATATATATATATATATATAAATATATATATATATATATAAATATATATATATATATATATATATATATATATATATATATATATATATACATATATATATATATATATATATATATATACATATATATATATATATATATATATATATATATATATAAATATATATATATATATATATATATATATATATATGCATATATATTTATAAATAACGTATATATATATATATTCACATATATATATATATATGTATATATATATATATATATATATATATATATATATATATATATTTATATATATATACCTTTCAGGAATGTGAAAGTTTAGAATATACAACATCGACAGACATTGATGAAGCTCTTGCGGAGAAACAATTAAGAAAAGAAAGCTACAGACAAAGTTTGTAGAATTTTTAGGAGGTAAGGTGTAATTGTTTAATTATTAAAAATAATGGGACAGTGATTTCAAATTATCTATATTTTAAATTCAATACATTTAAATATTTAATAATAAGACTAAATACTAGTATAATGATGTTATGAGTGAAGATATTGTGGTTTACAATTTTTGTAACGGATCTCTAAGTTTCCTAACTTATTATTCGAAATTAAAAAGCATAGGGATATATATATATTTTTTAATAAATTGTAAAAAAAATCATACTAACAAAAAATATTTGCCAACATCACTTTAAAAATATGCTATTTAAAGTTTAACCGAAGTTATAAATATTTTATATCGTAACTCAATTATTTATATAAATAGTGGCAAGTTTTCCTAACTTCTAATTATCAACAAACATTTTTATTTATTATTTAAAAATTCCTTGGAAAAAACAGGAATAAGTTTTAAATGTAGTAATAGTTTGATTAAACTTATAGAAATCTTAAAACTTGGTGTAATTTCTAAAAAGTATTTATCAAACCCAAGTAAAGTCTTTGGTCTTTATATACAAAATAATAGTTTTTGACGTTTTCAAGAACTATTAATAATAATTTTGACAATATCAAAAAACTAATTTTTATTTTCTAGTTTATAATAAAAACCTTAGTTTATAATTTATAATCATTTTCGAAAACAAATTTATTAATATATACATTTTTATTACGTTTTGGCGAGAATTAGATACATCAAACTTTTTTCTTTTTTTAAGTTTTTTAATATAAAATAATATTTTAATAGTAATTAGAGATCCCTTTAGTAAAAAAGGCTTTGTTTTAAAACACTTTTTGTTCATTTTTTAAAATGTTTAGTATGACTTTTTTGTATTTTAGACAATGATTACCAGAACTATCCTCAAATGTCAAATGGTGAGGTTTTATATTTGATTCAAAATTTTTGTTTTAGCTTTTACAGTTTTAATAGTCTATTAAAGGAGTGATGTCAATCCTTTTGTCATTATCATTAAAAAAAAAAACTATTTTTAGTTAATTGTGCTGTCAAAATGAAAGTCCTTTGCAACAATTTACTCAAAATTTATATTTGTTGTTATTTTAGAATAGTTGTCCAAGTTCCCTTTACCTCTAATTGCGCTCAGCAAATTGAGTTCACGTTTACATTGTAAACAAACTAAATCTAGTTCAGTTTATCACTAATTCAGTTTATCAAAGCTTTTTTCACTAATTCAGTATTTACCACTAAATCATAATTCTATCACAATTTTTTCACTAATTAAGTTTTTATCACTAATTCACAATTCACAGAGCAGTTTATCACTAATTTAGTTTATCAAAGTTTAATACTAATTAAGTTTATCAAAGTTTTCTTGCTCATCCAAAGCTTACATCAAGCATCAAAACTTCTCAGTTACAACCACCTTCAACAATACATGACCTAATTGTACCCAAAAAATCTAGCCAACCATGTTTTCTGTTAACTGCTTTAAACATACCAATCAGGTCAACACCAAAATCTACCTTGGCACGTCTGCCGATTCCAGTCACGTCAACACCATTAAACTAACTGATTAGGTCAGCACACAAGTCCGTCCGCACGGTCATCCAATGAAGAAAGTGAAAGCACGGATCCACCAAATGCAAGTAATTAAAAAATTATTTTTAATTATGGAATAAAATAATATATTAATGTAAATATTGTAAGTGTTTGCAAAGATCGAATTTTATTAACTTATATTTTAAGATATGGTGCTTTTGATAACTGAATTTAAGAATTCCAGAAGGCAGTGTTTTTCAAACTGTCACAACTCACCATAGAAATCTTGGAATTGAAAAGCTCCTTAGGCAACAACCGATGTCTGCTGCTTTACTAGGTGCCAACAACTCAATGGGATTAGAAAATAGTAATGGCCCTATTGACACAATTGAAAAAATACGAATCGCTGATTTTTTGTTGTGAAAGTCCTGCTGCAAGTACTCTTTTGGTAAGTTAAATAAATTTAAAATGATTGTATAAAAATATCTGTTTGTTTTTGCCTTAATCAAGAATTGGTTTTAATTTTTTTAATTTTATTTACATTTGCTAAAGACAATTGATGGATCAGATCTGGGAAAGACTGTTGCGTATAATATGTCGCGACTTTTTACTAATTCTTTGATGTCACAAACGAACATGGATGGTCGAAGAAATTTGGCGAAAGTTCCATTCAGAAGATCCTTCATATATAAAGTTGTTATTTTTAACTTTAATGTTGATTTTTTAATATATATATATTTTTTAATGTTAAATACATGCTTTAAATGCAAAATATTATAAACAAGTTTTTTAGTGATTGCAAAAATAAACTATTTATATCCTACTAGCAGTAAGCAACCCGTAATACGGGTTATTAGTAATTAATAAATAATTGCTTTCTAAAAAATAGCCTTTAGCTCTTTTCAATTGCACTAAAATATAAAACAAAACTTTGCTTGAAGCTTAAAAATCTGAAAACAGAAAAGTAAAAAACCTAGAGTAAACATTTTTTTTATTAAAACTACTATATTTAAACAAATTAAGTTAAATAAAGCTGAGACTTCCTACATAAGTTAATGGCTAAATTAAAACACATCCTGGTCTGTGATCATTTCCTTTTATAAAAGCAATTTTATTTAGTTAACATAAATGAGTTCTTGACTTGAAACCTCGGAAATTTCTTTCTGTAAATCCCGTAAAATTGTTTTAATAAGTTTAAAGAATAAATAAGAAATTTAAAATAAAAAACCATAAATTAATAAGGAATTTCTAATATTTGAAAAAGTTAATTTAAATGAACTAAAAAGAAATTTATAGAAAATATATTTGTTTAAATGCAAACGTTGTCGTATTTAAAATTAAATATAATATTGTTTAAATTAATAACAAAAAACATCCGAAAATTTCTGTAAAATTAAATAAGAGAAATTGAATTTTCGGAATTCCCGGAAAAAACTCATCTTTGAGCTAAATAAGTTAAGTTAAAAGATTTTGTACAGGAAGAGGAGAAAACGCAAATCAAAAAAGATGGTTTTTATTTACAAACAAAAACAATTTACAAAAATATTGTACAAACAAAGTTTACAAATATGAAGAATATAAGAATACATCTACAATTAGTATTTTGCAGAAACGTAACCTACAAAATACTAATTGTAGATGTATGAAATCCCACCCCTCCCTCCCCCTTTCTTCTACGACGGCCACCGCTACCCCCTTCCTCAATAGAAGAAGGGATGGTCCCTACCACCGTTTGGGACCCACACCCCATGCGCCCTATGGGATGTGGGTCCATTGTGTTGACTCCTGTAGTTCAAGAATCCCTGGTATGACAAATCTGAAATGAAAATAACAATTTTCTAAAAGAGCAATATATGCAAGTGTAAAGATAACACAAAAACAATAATGAGCAAATAAACTGCAAACCACTTACCATTAACTGCAGTAGCAGTTAGTGTCGAAGTGGTATGTGCCAAATCTGAAATAGAAAAAATATACAAATAATATACAATTTTATACAAATTTAATAATAGTAATAATAATTAAATCTACATTTACCAAGTGTTGTTGCTGCTACTCTCACTATATATAAAAAAATAACTAATTAACTACTTAACTAAATTACTGAACATAATAGATTATTAAATCATTTTAACTATATCTTCTTACATGTTTCATCGTTTGCATAGCCATTTACTAAAGTGAAAAAAAATGTATCATTTCGTGAAAAAATTAAATAATTCTATGTAAGAATACAAATATGTTAAAAGAATTCAACTAAAATCTGCAATTAAAGTTAAAACTAAATCTTACAAATTTCTTGCATTGATTGCACTAAAATCAGAAATTATATAATATAAATATAAAATATAAAAATCCTATAACATACTAAAGCAAGTATTATCAAAATATTTATTATGTATAACTGTAACTAAACATAACTATATATAAATATATAACTAATATTAGGGTATAAAGAATAATATATAAAGAATATTTGAAAAAAACCTTACACATCAGTTGCAAAGGCGCTATAAAATAGAACAGAAATTGTCAAACACACACAATATCAGATTTTATCAATAAATGGATTATGTAAACAATAAATTTTACGTTATAGGAAAAAATCTTACTATTTGGTTGAGGCTGAACAACTAATTAGGATTTAGTATCCCACATAGGCCGTGAATCATGCAAGTTTTAATAATATCATAAAATTCACGATTAACAATCGGATCTGGAACTTCTGAACATATTAAATTATTGATATCCTGTGCTGTTTCAAGTTTATCATCATTGGCTAAATGAAATAAAATGTGGGCATGCGGCAAACCACGCTTTTGAAACTCAATAACCTGAACATGTGTTACAACTTTGCCTAATACACCATGTTTGAATATATCATTGAGGAGGTTATTTAACTTGGGTTTAAATACTCGAGTGACCAAATCAGGTCTATCATTCGCAGTCTGAAACGGATATAAATTTTCTGTTATTTCACACCATTTTGGGTTGCAAGTAAAAGTAAAAAAAGATCTGGTTTACCATACTTTTTAATAACTGCCATAACATCTTCAAAATTTTCTTTTAAAGCTCTAGGACTTCTCACATAAGATGATGGCAAAACAACTACTCGCCCTGGTCTAACATTATGTTCGTTCGCAATGTTGTTAACATGTTCATGTAAGGCATCATACTGCTCGCTTCTCAGTTTATTTTGATTATTTTTGATAAAAGCAAGACGCTGGCCTTTAATTTTTACATATGCATCTACAGTATATTACTGAATTAGTTTCTTGCCATAAAATAATGAACAGAAAAATTGCCTAACAGAAACTCTATAATTGTAGAACTGAGATAATGTAACATGATTTCTAACCAGTGTGGCACGCTCAGGGTTATGCACTAACTGATTATGCTAATCAGCATCACCTCTTGGGAAAAATAGCGGATAAACCATAGAATCCAAGTTGGCTGACATACTCGATACAATTTTTAAAGGATGACCTCTTGGATAAATAACAACTTCCCTGGAAGTTGGGGGAGCACCATCTTCGCCAACAAATACAACTGCAACTTCATCATGTGAAGGTAGATTATAGCAACGTCTATCACCCCCTTCAAGTAAAGACATTTTTACAACAGAAGCTTGGCGACCTTCTATAGCCGCTTGACGAATTTCTTCATCTTCTACTTCAACCATGTTTTTAAATGCAAGAGCAAATGGACTTTGTTCAGTAATTATAGTTTGCAATTGAAACATTAAATCACGTAAACAATGATCATTACCATGTTGTTTCATTCTAAAATTTACTGCTGCTAGTGGATCATAAATATATAGTTGAGAATATTTTGGTAGAATATCTTGATCTGGCCTAAGATTACCTACACGATGATAAATCTGACCACATATTTTAAAACATGGAGACCCAGTATTTATTGGTTGAACTACATCTGCTTTAAAAGAAGCAAAAGAAAGACAGGTTTTATAATTTCGAATATGTTTTAGAAAATTGCCATTAGCATTACGATCTACATAACTCCCTGTAAATAAATCCTGTAAAGCTTGTGTAATTGGTAAAAGTGGGGGCAAAGCAACCTTACCATTATGACAACATAGAAAATGTGTTTCATCTGGAAATTTCACAGTGCTGACAAATTTAATTCATTTCTCCTGTATAATTACAATCTGGAATATCATTACTTCTTGCTATAGAGTACATTCGACCAGGTCTAGCAGCATTTCTTTCATTTTGGCGACGTTTAAGCCTATTTCTTTTATTTCGGCAATGATTATTTTCAACTCGCCTAACCAACCTTTCCCGATTTGAGTTCAAATTATCTTCAGCTCGTGTAACTGCTCTTCTTACATTTTGGCGATGATTAACTACATCACGATTAAGCCTATTTCTTTCATTTTGCTGACAATTAATTTCATCTCGCCTAAGTCTATTCCTTTCATTTCGGCAACGATTATTTTAAACACGCCTTAGAGCATTTACAGGGTTAGGGTTAGGGTTAGGGTTAAGGTCACGGTTAGGGTTAGGGTCAGGGTTAGGGTTAGGGTTGGGGTTACCTAACCCTAACCCTAACCTTAATCTTGACATTATTTTGTACATGCAAAACTTCATCTTGCCTAACCAACCCTTTAACATCATAGTTTTCATTAAACATATTGTTAAATTTAATTCAAATTTTTTATAATTCAAAATCTCTTTTTGTACTACTCTAAATTGCACAATAGAGTAAAATAATTTAATTAATCTAAAATTTAAAATAAACTTCAAATAAATATCTTGCTTAAAAAATTAAAAGAAAATTTATCAAAACAGTTATGAACATTCCTTTTGTTGTACTTAAAACAATATATCAATAAAGAGATCAAGTATAAAATAAAAAACATTGTTAAACAGAAAAAATAAATGAAAATCTTGAATAAAATAATAAGGATCAATTTCTCTCTCTCTCTTTTCTCTCTCTCTCTTTTCTCTCCCTCTCTCTCTCTCTCTCTCTTTGTATATATGTATATATATATATATATATATATATATATATATATATATATATATATATAAATATATATATATATATATATATAAATATATATATATATATATATATATTTATATATATATATATTTATATATCTATCTGTCTATCCATCTATATAAATATATATATATATATAAATATATATATATGAATATATATATATATATATATATATATACATATATATATATATATATATATATATATATACATATATATATATATATATATATATATATATATATATATATATATATATATATATATATATATATATATATATATATATATATATATGTATATATGCTAGAAACTAAGAAAGAGTGTATTTTACAAAATACAGAACCGTAAACACAATAAGTAACTAACAACAAATAGTAACTAACGGCACTATACAGCACATCTGGAGTATTAATATTTAGAGATTTTCAGACTGCTTTTTGCTACTAATATATGCTGAGGGGGAGCAATTTAACAATGGATTTATTATTAACTTTGTTAATTTTATTTTTTAGATTCTATAATGTACAACTTCTCTAGCATGTCCATTGCTCAAGCACATAGTGCAATAGACGCATATTTAAAAAAGGTGTAATGGTGGATAAGAGGGAAAAAAAAAATATCTTTGGAATTAAATAAACTGTTATTAATAAAGATCAAAATGTAGAGGAAGACAATCAAGAACCGGCGCCGAAT